AAAAGAACAACCTGAATAAAACATGGGCAGAGGATCTGAACAGACATTTTTCCAAAGAAGATATTCAGATGGCCAATATGCACATGAAAAGATGCTCAACATCACTAATCATGAAGGAAATGCAAATCAAAACCACAATGAGATATCACCTCTCACATGTCAGAATGCCTATTATCAAAAAGACAACAAATACAATAAGTGTTGGTGACAATGTCAAGAAAAAGGAACACTGCACTGTTGGTAAATTAGGGCAGCCACTATGGAAAAGAGTATGGCGCTTCCTCAAAAAATTAAAAATGGAACTACCATATGATCCAGCAATTCCATTCCTGAGTAATTATCTGTAGAAAACAAAACACTAATTAGAAAAGATATACATACCCTTATGTTCAATGCAACACTGTTTACAAAAGCCAGGATATGGAAGCAACCCAAGTGCCCATCAATGAATGGATAAAAAACATGTGTGATACACACACACACACACACACACACACACACACACACACACACAACTGAATATTACTCAGCCATAACAAAACAATGAAATCTTGCCATTTGCAACAACCAATGGACCGACAGGGTATTATGCTAAGTAAAATAAGACAGAAAGAGAAAGACAAACACTGTATGATTTTACCTATACATGGAATCTAAAAAACAAATGAACAAACAAAACAGAAGCAGAGTTAGAGTTACAGAGAACAGAGGGTTGCCAGAGTGGAGGTAGGTAGGGGAAGGAATAGGTGAGGGAGATTAAAAGGTACAAATTTCCAGTTATAAAACATTGTAAATGAGTCAAGGGTATGAAATGTACACTGTGGAGATATAGTCAATAACTATGTAATATCTTTGTATGATGACATATCATAACGAGACTTATCATGGTGACCACTTTTTAACATACAAAAATACCAAATTACTATCTTGTGTACCAAGAATTAACACAGCATTGTAGGTCAATTACACTTCAAAAACAAACTCATAGAAAAGAGATAAGATCTGCGGTTATCAGAGATGGGCGAGAGGGGGGGTGGACAGGAGAGGTGGAATTGGATGAAGGCAGTCAAGACGAGAGATGTGTGAGTAATCTGAATGTTCACTGGACTGTATAAACTACATATATCTTCATCACAGAATTGCTTAGTTTACATCTGTCCTCAGGATTCTATCACCTCTCCCTTGGCTGACCTCACAGCTATGACAATCTTTTACAAAGAAAGTCCACTTCTTAACTGAGGAAACAATGTTTCTTCAGATAGAAGCTGCAACCTGATTCACTTTCCGCCTTACACTTTTTTCACCTGACCTTTAAAAGGAAAAAAAATGCTTCAAATGTTTCCAATCATGGATTTCTGTTAATTGTCTTGCAATTTCAAACTTATCACTGTTTGACATTACAAAGGCTTACACAAATGATTTTAAATGAAAAAAGGAGTTGCAAAACAGGAATATTAAGAACTGCCTGGATGTTTAAATAGTATAAACTTTAAATTCTGAACAAATCAATATTGTTTTCTACATCCAAAATCCAAAATGAACACGTCAATTATTTTCAGTTGTTAAGTAACTCATTTCTATACCAGACATGTCCGAGGACTAAGGTGAGAGCAATCTGATGAGAAAAAAGGTAATTTGAATAGTGCAATATAATGAAAAGATCATTGGGCTCGGCCTGCTGTGTTCCACGGCCAGTTCTGCCATGGTTTGGCTGTGTGACCTAACTGTGGGGGCCAAGGGCAATTATCTTCCTGTCTTCAACAATGACAGATGATATATATCAACCTAGACTTCACAGAGGCACTGGACAGATAATACATACATAAAATGACTTAAGTTGCTGCTACTTCAAAAGAATACATTCCAAATTATCCCAGACTGTGTTTTGTTTTTTTGAAGTACTGGTAGGTGTTCTATACTGGAAAGTTCTTTTCATTTATTTAGGTGATCCACTGAGGACCTGCAATGCACCAGGCTTTACGTTAGGAACTGAGGACTAGAGAAGAAATCAATGTTAAGGTGTTTTTAATATGTTCTACATACTTGTAACCTAGTTGGAGAAACAAAGTATTTATTAATGACTTCATCATTTCTAGGCGGCAAAGTGAGTGGTTCAAACAGTGCTATGGCTCGATCATTCTTTCAGTCCTCGTGTCCATCAGACAGTAAGTACACTGCTAATGAATCATAAGAGACAGAATGTGAAAACTCTGGACGTTTGGTGTCTAGTTCCTGTGACTGCTATGGGAGCTCAGTGAAGGAAAAGACATTGGAAAAAAGGCTTCGCAGAGACAAGGAGTATCTGTTAAGTATGCTGGTTTCATCTACGCTCTTTCAGTCCTTATAATACTGTGAAGTAGAAACGTTCCCATTTTACAGATGAAAACCCGATTCAGAGAGATTAAGTAACATGGTCAGGACACAAAGCAAATAGCAGGTGAATCTAAGTCTGTTCTGACTTAAAAAGTCTGAGTTGTCTCGGCTCTACCATAGATGTGATCAGCATGTAAAGAGGGGAGAGAGGAAGAAAACATTCTGGATAGAAAGATCAAAATAAGCCCAAGCCTGAAGCAAAAAGAGGGTGGCCAAGTCTGGTGAAAGGGAAAAAAAGGAAGAAAAAAAAGCACTGGGCAGTTATGGAAAATAAGGTTAGGGGATAGAATGTCAAGAGGCTAGAATACAGGTGGCTAAGAAATGTGGGCTTATTCCTGTAAGTCAATAAAATGGAACTGGAGATTGTAAGCAGGAGAGTAGAGGATGAGACTTAGGGCATTAGGAAGGTGAACACCACAGGACAGAGATGGACTGGAAAAAATGTATGGCATAACACAGAACAAATTTTTAAAATCCCAAGCACTTCGATATTTAAATAAACCCAATGACAATACTTTCATAATACAATAATCAAACTATCTCTTGTACAGATCTTCCTTACAACATATCTCTAGGCACTTTTAAAAATGGCCATTATGTCCTACTAATTCTTATATGGATCAGAAACCACTTCCACCTCCAATGCATCTAAAAAAGAATACACCTCAGGTCGGAGGCCACATTTTAAAACCACGCCTCAGAGCAGCAAGGGCCAAACAAGAGAAATGAGCAGAGACTCCAACTCACAAACCCCTTGGCAAAGAAAAACAAAGTTGTAAAAAATTTGTATCTTCATTTACAGGCGCATTTAGAACTATTTTTTTTTAGGGAAAAAAGTTAAGCATTGAAAAATTAGAGAATGACTTTCATATAACCCCAGATTTACTTTTTCCCCCATACAAATTTATAGTTTCCACTTCTCACAAAAATCAATACAAAAGCGGCAGCGTCACCACTTCAGTGCCAAATTTCCTTTCTCTTTTATGGATATAGAGGTTTTTTTTTTTTTTTTTTTTAAGGTCTGGACTGGTTGCATTTATTGCCTCCTTGGCAGTTATCATCATAACTCTCAAGTTCTCCATCCCATTCAATCTTTGCCACAGGAAAATTCGATTGCATTTCGTAACCTAACACTGGGCGGCAATCAAGCCAAGGCTCCATATTTCTTAAACACAACTGAGACCTGGTGTAGGATCACATTAAAACCCTTTAGTGACTATCAGGTAGACAACAATAACCTAATTAGCCAACACAGCACACGTGACACTGGCCCCACCAGTACCTCAGTCAAAGACACTTTCCTAGACTAATTCACCAACAAGGTGATCACCTTGTGATGGGGAACTGGGAGAGAATAAGGAAACCTAACAAGGAAAATGTGGAGGGAAGTGTGCAGCTGGGGTTTTTCAAGGGAATTACAGTGAAGATAAGTGGTAGGGGGGGTGGACTGAGGAAAAAGTAATCTTCTTTTATGCAAAACATCTGATGTCGAGATGGCCTCACTTCCAATTCTGCAGCCCTAACTTTTAACTGAACCTTCCAGAAAGTTAAGTGAGCTTGAGGTTCTGGGGAGCATAGGAAGTGCCCAAACCACATCTTGATGTCCTTATATCCTTGTATAGGAGATGCGATACCTGTGCCTAAGTCCCAAGATGTTTTAACTTATTTAGGGATAGATAAGCTTCTCAATAGTCACATCTGCTTCTGCTGCCAAAGACTTTCTGAGATGTGGTCACTGGATTTTCAGTCTAGAGGTAAAGCATTAAACACAAAATGAGTAGAACAAAGTTATTCACAGACAAGAAAAGCACAGGGGTTGATAGTAATGCTAAGGGAAATACATGTTTTTGCTTTTGTTTTAAACCCAGGACGAACCCCAAACCCTGCAAATACCTAATTTACAACTCTAACAACCAGAGCCTATTTCTCAGAGCCTCAAGAGCTTGGCTTTACCGAAAAGTCAATTTACAGTGCCAAAATTCTCGACAGTTGCCCCTGGCTGTCCACGTGGACTTAACAATCTGCTTTATGCTTGGGTGGTATAATATTTAAAGCCAAGTAAACCTTTTTGGACCTTAAGAGTATTGACTGTACTTTAAATTTTTCATGCATCCTCAAGACCGGTCACGAAGGCTTCAATGCCCAGATAAAGGTTTATCCATTTGTGTGTGGCCTCTAACGTGCTGCTACAGGTCCATGAAATAAGAAAAAAATTTCTCGTTTTCTCTCCTGAGCAATAAGGATAAATTTAGCCGCCACCTCTCCAAACAATAAAAAATAAAATAAAATAAAGTGGAGAGGAGCGTGCCCCGAAGGGCTGCATCCAAACGGCGAGTCCGGCTCGCCGGAAGACGGTGCGCAGCTTCGGTCCCCCGCCGTGGGCTCTGAGGCCGAGTTGAGCGGAGAAAAGCTGGGGGGACAGCCGCTCCCGGGCCTGTGGCGACTCGGGCGCGGCGCCGGGGGCGGCCGCGCCCGGCGAGTAAAGCGGGGAGCGCGCGGCGTTCCCACACCCGGCCCGCCGCCCCGGGACTCAGAAAGCCTCCCCGCTGCCGGCGGCCCACACCTGCCGCCCCACCCGACGCCCCGCAGACCCTTTCGGGCAACGGCTTCCGGCCCGCGGAACTCACAGCTTCAGCCGCTCGTAGGTTGTTGCCGCCATCCTGCACCACGGCCTCCTCCCTGCTCTTTCCGCCCGCCCCGCCACCTCGAATACAGCGCTACCGGTCACCCTGGCACGGCGGCCGCAACGCCCCGCCTCGTCCCACCTCCTCTCCCTGCCCGGCAGGGCTGCTCCCGAACGGGAGGCGGCCGTGGACAAACTTCGCGCGCGCGCTAGAGAACGCTAAAGGCGCAGTCCGATGCGGCGGATGGGAGTGCGTCGAAGAGCGCCGTGACGTCACCGCTGCGGATTGGCGGAGCGCATGGTTGGGGAAAGGCGGAGCCCTGGGAGCTGTGGACTAGCGCCGCGACGCCCGGCGCAGGGGCGAAGCGCAGCGCTAGCGTCAGGGAGCCTGCTGTAGATGCGTAAGGCGTGATCTGTGCTACAGTGCTCCTTTCGTTAGTGCGGGGCCAGTGGCGCAATGGATAACGCGTCTGACTACGGATCAGAAGATTCTAGGTTCGACTCCTGGCTGGCTCGAGGCGTGCTTTTTAGCCACAACTGCGTTTGATGTTACAGGATGTCCTTAGGATTCTGGTGTGAAGATTAAATATCTTGAATTTTAACGCTACTGTGACTGTGCCCGAAGTGTCATCTTTTAAGCTGTGTTTGGAAGCCGGAGTTGTGTGAGGTGGTTTGTAAACTGCAAAGCGTCCTGATTAATGATGCACACAAGGAGACTCTGTAAATGGGGTACGTGTGGGAAAACACACCTAGAATGGTGGTAGTTTGCAGTAGGGGGGCGTGCTGTGGCCCGAAGTTAGCTAGCGGATGACACAAAAGCGCATTTAAGGCAGCAGTTCTGGCCCTTTCTCCCGTGGAGCAGAACCCCTACGGTGACGTAAAAAGCGGCACAGTCCCAGTTTATCAGGATCTGGTGAGCTCTGACTCTAACCTGCCCCGGAGACGCGAACGCTGCAGTGCGGCTGCGCGCGTTAGAGGGGGTCCGCAAAGTGATCGGAGTCTGCAGCCCTGTCCCTTGAGAGCTCCTGGTCCCTAGTGAATCGGGAAACCTTAGCATAGCACATGGGTGTTTTTGCAGTACTAAGACCCCAGGTAATCTAGTATTATATATCACCCCTCATTCTATTGGCGCCTGGGTGGAAGACCTGAGAAGGACCGAAAGGTCTGGAGCGGAAAGGAGAGTCAAACCCGAAGAGTGGCGGAAACATCCGACACTGTCCATAACTAATCTTTCAATCGATCAATTAATCTCTCCAATATAACGTTTATTCCTCCTGAACAAATTACAGGAAACTTGTAAAATACAGAAAAGTACTGGGAATCCAAAAAACGCAAATTCCCATCCCGAGATAATTATTATTCTCGTCATAATCCCCGCCCCCGCCGTCATTACTATTAACGTCATAATTTTTTTTCCTTATGGACTTTACTTTTCTTCCACACTTTTTAATATAAACCTACACACGTATTTTTTCCAAATTTGGGGTTTTGTCACAAATCCCATCCCTTGTCTTTGTGTTCTCATTTTGTTCCCTTAGCTTTTTGTCTGAGATTTATGGTCATTAAATATTCTTTGAAGATAACCCATAAAAAAACTAGATATTTTAAACATTACCCTCTTTGTTGGGAATCTGGGTTGTCGTCAGTTTTTTTAAAAATAATGCTATGTTGAATTATTTCTGATATCTTATAAATTTTTAGATGTTGAATGATCAGAGAGACATCTTTAAGGTCCATTTCACGGACTATTTAAGACTTTGGTACATATTTTCAAGTTGCTTGCTAAAAAATTTAAACAAATACACATTTCCATCAATAGCATCAGTTTCCTTGCATGCTAACACTGAGTATTATAAATTTCATTATGATTTTTTTTTGCACTTTTCTTAACTGAAAAACGGAACTTCCTTTTACTTATATTACTTGATGTATATATTTTCTCTTGATATATGTACTCATTTTCTTCTTATAGATTTGTTAAACTTTTAAATATATTAAGGATATTAATTCTTCAGCTATCGAACGCATTTACAATTTTTAGCCTATCTTTTATATTTTCCTTTTCCTTATAATATTTTTGAACCTCAGGTAATTTTCACTTTTATGTATTCCAGTTTACCAATATTTACCCTATGGTTTCTTCTGTTGCTCTTTTCAAATTGTGTTTGTATCGTTGTTTCCATGTACTTTAACCCATTTGCAATTTATTTTGTTAGTTGTCCCAATGGAAAGATCAAGTAAGTCTTAAAACCTGTGACTATTATTGAAAAATTAAGAGCTCTAAGCTCGATGCTTGGACTAATTCAGTCAATTCCACAACAGTCCTGTAAGGTAAGCTTGGTCGTTGTCCCCATTTTTACAGATGAGGGAACTAAATTTGCTTACGTTCAGTGAGCAGTTTGGTGGTGGAGCCTGAGTTAGAACTTGAATCCAGGCTTTTGACCCCAAAGCCACCCTGCCCGAGGGCTTATTGTGCACCAGAGGGTTGACCACATGAGTAGACTCAGGGCTATTCCCTGTCTGGGTATAGATGGCAATCACATACCTTGGCTCCTCACCCCTTCTCCCATGCTAGTTAGCAACCGAGAGACCTCGTCTCTAGTCCTGGGCACACCCTGGCCCAGACAACATTTCCCCTGACTACGTCTTCATCCCTTGTAGCATCAGGGTCATAGAAAAACAGCAGCCTACATTTGTAAAATCGGAATAGCCACTCTCTCATTGCTTGCCCCTTCCCTCTGCAAGTCCTGCCTTCCTGTATGTGGTTGCCTTAAATCTAGAGGGTCACTCACCTCTGGAATTCTTTGGTCATAACCTCATTAGGAAAAACAGTAACGTACACAAAAGGGAAGGAGACAAAACGACCACCGTTTTGAGCATGACCTGAAAAAGTCTCAATAAGGTCCCAGGTGAAGAAACTGGATGCTTGAAAGACTGAAAGATGATTCTCCAAGTGTCTCTCACATTCCTACACACCTTGTGAGGGAGGCACTGCCTTACTTCCAGACTACCTTTTCAAGGATGTTTGTGTAGTAAACAGACTTGGATGGAAGAGATAGTGTCTCTCTCTGGAGCAAAAGTCAGGCAGGTTTACTGCCCATTTATAAAAGATTGTGGTTCGTTCTCTAAGCTTGGGTTTCTCCTCTTGTAACACAGCCCACCGCATATGCAGGTATCACCTGGCCCTCTTCACAGGGCCCTGTAGGAACTGGCGCTCAGGCAACTAGTGCAAAGGCTTATTACAGTGTGAAATGCTACTGCTGCTACTGTGAGTAATAAAGTGTCCTTTGTCTCTGACCCAGGAGTCTTGTAACTTCTGCCAGGATCCACAAAACCATGGCATGCTAGCTTATTAGCTTGCCAGTAGGATAAAATCTGAGACCCTACACAGTTTCAACGCCCGAATATTTAAGAATCCAGAGCTCTCAGACATAAAAAAGAATGAAATAATGCCATTTGCAGCTACATGGATGGACCTAGAGATTATCATACTAAGTGAAGGCAGAAAGAGAAAAGACAAATATCATATGATATCACTTTTATGTGGAATCTAAAATATGACACAAATGAACTTATCTACGAAACAGAAACAGACTCACAGACATAGTGAACAGACTTGTGGTTGCCAAGGGGCAAGGGGGCGGGGGAGAGTTGTACTGGGAGTTTGGGGTTAGCAGATGCAAACAATTACATACAGAATGGATAAACAACAAGGTCCTACTGTATAGCATAGGGAACTATATTCAATGTCCTGTGATCAACCATAATGGAAAAGAAAGAAAGAAAAAAAGAAAGAATCCAGAGCTCTAAAAGACCAAATCCCATTAGCAAAAAGCCCCATCTGCTTACTCCATACACACAAAAGAAGACCCAATAAACATGATTATGTTGGAGATCACTTTAATAGTCTACAAATTAAGGCAGCTTTATTGTCATGATATTTGGAATAATTTTATAGTAACAGTAAATTTCTGAATAATTTTATAGTAACAATATTTTGAATAATTTTATGGTAACAATATTCTGAATAATTTTATAGTAACAGTAAAATTTTGAATAATTTTACAGGAACAATATTTTGAATCAATTAAAGTAAAAGAAGAGACACAGGGGAAAATAATTTCCCTGCAGAGAGAAATTTTCATACACTATATAGAAATTTCCTATATCTGTCCAGTTCTGGCTCAGAACAATTGATAGCTGACACATCTTCCTGATCTTTTTCCTAATGCTTTTAAAAGTTACTTCCAATAGTAACTGGGAAATTAGGACTCATTCCTGGCACAAAGGAGAATACAAAGCACTTGGTTTCCTGGTCGACAGTTTTAACAAGTGCATCAAGCAACAATGGTTTGGGGTCAAGTCTTGCACACCTTCTTTGCAAGGGCACTAGCAGCCATCATCGCTCTCATACTTTCACACATGTGGGAAACGGCACACAAAAACAGCCTGCAAAGGAGTGTGAAGTCCAGATCATTCTCTCAGATTCTGACATTTCTGTTTTTCATCTTGGGTAACTCAAGTCCACGGAAACAAGGTGATGGCGGCACTTGAAAGCAATCAGAACTCCTTGGTAAATCCCACCGGCCACCCAGGACTCAGTGGCACAACCTCAGTGGACTCAGCCAAAAGAGGCTTTCGCTCAAGCACTAACCACGGAGAAATGGAAAGTCCTGCCGCCACGTGCAGGCAATGACCCAACAGGACTCAATGGCCTTCTGTGTGAAAAATGAACAAATCACTCTCTACTCAACCACAGATGGGAGGATAATGTCAGAGAGAGAGGATCCTGCTATGACAGGCCAAACTGCATTCCTGGCTTTTCTCAGATCACTCAGGCCGTTTTTGAATGACCCTAGCTGCAGGGGAAAAATGACAAGAAAAACCTAGAGGGCAAAGTGAGGCAAGGGAGAAGGCTGGAGGCTGGCTTTGGCATCTGGAATCAGGCCATAATTCTTGTTTATGTAAAGTCCAAGAGTCATCTAGGGAACTCAAGATACGGCTATCTGCTCTACCTTTTAAAACAAACTTATCCATCCTGGTCTACGAAGTGCTTGTGTGTTCTTTCTACATGCCTATAAATACAACCCCATTATAGCTCTATTTGGCTAATAATTTATAGAAAGTTTAAAACACCAGGTAAGTGGGCATCTATTCATGGCTTTTTTGCAGGGGCCTGAGGAGGAGACAAAACTGGTAGGAGATTCCTACCC